TGCTGTTCTGGAGTATCCTCCAAACCATGACCTGTTCCTAGTTTGTGCAAGGTCCCCTGCCATTGCTTTTGGTGTAACTCAGCCTGTGTTCCCAGGAGAGCAGAAGGTACCTGACCTCAGCCTGCACTTCAGTTTGTTCAAACTAATGGGCATTGGTATGGTGTGACGTGCCCCACCACCCTCATAGGACTTCTGCCCCCCCCCTTGGCCTCAACCCATTCCTACGATGGCCTCGGCTGCCTGCCGTGACTTGGGTTGCTGTGGAGAGCACAGGGCCTGTTGGTGAGGACAGTCTGGAGCTGTGTAATGGGTATCAGCAGAACCTTGTGCCTTATGTCTCTGCCAGGATGGATGAGCTCAGGGAACAGTATCAGGGAATCTCTGGGGCTGCCTTCATCCTGTTGATGCTGAACAATCCTCAGTCTGACTCCTCTCTAAAGTGGAGTGGTGAGGCAACTTAACACCACGGGGAAGTACTTTAACGCATAGTGAGAACAACCTACATCAGTCTTCTGTCTCCCAGGCATAGTAAAAGTGGGACAGCTGAAGTGCTGTGAAGCTGATGCAGTGCTACTCTGCAGAGTGCTGCTATCCTTCATTCCCTTTACCTACTGAGCCAGCTGCTGGGCGGGCTCTAGCTTCTTTGGTTGCCAGAGGTGCTTTTGCTTTCCTGTGTCACATTAAAGCCATGCAAATAGTTTCTATAGCAACAGGTCTTTTTGCTCAGCTCTGACGCAAAATCCTGAAAGGTCTTTCTCATTCTGTCTTCATCCAATTCTGATTTTTGCTTTTATCAACTCTTTTTGAAGATAAAGGGGGAAAAAAATAATTCTGCTCTGTTTCAGGAGTTAACTTGCAGCAGAGGTGACTGTTCAGTTTTAAGAGCCCACTGAAGTTTCTATACCAGGACTTGAACTCTGGGATGAAGGAAAAATCAGCTGGAATAATCTAGAGAGTGCCCTGACTGTACATATAATGTTTGTTCTTGTTTGCCTCCTCCCAGCTGTATATTTTATTTCAAATCTTAGCTTTTCATTAACATGCTGTGTCTAGGCTTAAGGACTTCAGCAGTAAATTCCATTAGCTTTTCTGGGGTGGTAGAGAATGAAAATGGTGTTATTTGCTGTCTCCTTTGGCTTATAGACAGGGCTTTGTGGCAGCACTTGAGCACAGCTGTAACTAAGAAAAGAGTGAGGGGAGTTATGACTGAGAGGCCAAGGGATGATGTATGAACATGCCCATCTTCTTGCTAGCAGAGGAGATGCTAGTCCTGTCCTCCTGATACGGATGAGTACGTAGGTGGTACTTGGAGGGAGTAGAAGTGTTGCTTCATTTGAGAGGAAGAATTTCCTTCTTGTGTTAAGGAAAAGTAGCCTGTTGAGGAGGAGCCCATCTGAGCTGCATGTGCCTTGCCTTGTCAGGAAACCAAGTTAGCAATATTTACTTCTAGCTGTCCTTCCCTCTAAAAGCCCTGTTGACTTCTACGCTTTTGCTTTGAAGGTCCTGGTGCCACAGGAGGGAAGGGATGGAGAAGATGCAGTTGCATTAGAAGGGTAGGTGGGTATTCTAGAGCTGAGAGATGCAGCCAGTGTACAGCCACATTGCTCTGTGTGAACTGGGACAGGCCTGGGGAGGGACAACATGACTTTTAGACCTTGCCCTGAGCGGCAAGAGTAAATGTTTTGGAGCCTCCAAATGAGGAAACTGAAATCAAGCTAGTGAAGCAGGCATCATGGCCTAGTAGATAGAATGAAAGAATGGGAAAAGAGGCATGAATTTGTCCCCAGCTTTGCTTCTGGCCTGACTAATCTGAGGCCCTGTTTCCCCTTCTGTCCTTTCAGTTCCATTAAGTTCTCCAGAACATGTGCTGCAGGCTGAGCTTGTCGGGGCCCTCTTTGATGCTGTTGCAAATGAATGACTAAAAAAAATTAAAAAATGAAAGGCAGACAAAGTTAGATAAAATCGTATTGCCTCCCTGCACAAAGCGTTTGAGTCTCTGCCAAACAAGTCTCTCCTGTGTAATTACTGAAAACAAGTGCCGCGGTGGGACATAGCACAGCATCTTGTCGCAGCTACTCTTACCTAACTCTTCTTTTGTCAACACGAGGCTTGGATTTCGAAGAAGGAGGTATAGGGATGTATAGACAGGCTTCAAGCTGTGCTTATTTTCAGGAGAACAGGCTTGTGAAGCATGAGCAGGAGGGACTGGAGCAGGATAGGGGTGACTGGGGCTCTCAACACCATGGCCATTTACACAGGTAGTGGCCTTCAGTCTCATATTTTGTTTTACCTTGTCTCCCTGAATCATCTAGCGGTTGTGAAGGGGTTATTGGAGGGCCTAGCACTAAGCTGCTGTCTTCCTTTATGGGCTCTGGCCCTCCTTCTGAAGGAGTAACTGGTGCTGACTTAAAATCAACACACCTTGCTGCAGGCACAACTGCAGAGATTATGCAGCTGAGCAGGTTTTGTCTGTGATCTGGCTGCAACTTGCTGCTAATATTAAATAAATCTAAGGCGCAAAATTAGCGAGACCTGTATAAATGAGAAGGACCAAGCATCCCACAGCTCTGTGGTTATGTTCTTGGTGCATGGATCTGTTTACATACCTGTACAGCTTGGCTGTGAGGGGGCATTGTCCAAACTGCTGTGACTCTGGGCTGTAGCCTAAGAGAGTATATGCAAGAAGGATAGATGACCTTTGTGTTCCTGTTTGATTGCTTTAGCTGTGAGAAGGATGCGTTTTGTTCCTGAAGTTGGCTGTGTGGGTACTTCACAGGTCACTTAACCTTCTTTCCCCCCCAGCTTTAAAATAGGGCTAACAGCTGTCTCCATGATACAACATGGCTCTTCAGCATTCCAGTAATAGAGTTAGGTTCCTTAGCTAAAGTTTGTACGATCTATTAATATGTGTTTTATACATGAATAAGTGTGTATACGCATATCTATACATATATATGAGACTTCACAGTGAAGTAGCTTCTGTTGTAGCTTTGGCCTTATGCTGTGTCACACATTACCATGACTCTTAATGAGAACATGGCCATTTTTGATTGTTCTGAACAGTCTGCTTTGCGAATGTGCTGACGTAAATCCATATCTAACATCAGGCTCTGATACGCTTCTGGCAAGGCTGGTGGTCTAATAACAGCAGCAGTCACTCTGGAGATGCTTCGTGGATCTGTTTGGATTTTGTTTTAATAATGCTGGGCATAGTAGCAGGTTTTGTGAAACCACTGTTTGCCTTTCTGCTGTAGAAATGGCATGTCTGCAGAGTGCTGTGGGAGGGAGCTAAGAACCCAGATGGCTGCTCTGTGTCCCCTTCCCTTTCCTCTGAGCCTGCTCTGTTTTGGGTTCTGGCTATTCCTGATTGAATTCGTAGCTATACAACTGCATGATGCTCCCCATGTAATCAAAATACTCTCCAGCAGTGTTTGATGTAAACTAGACTCTGAAATTGGAAGAACAAAATCATGTGCCTTTACAGAGTTGTTTCTTGGCCTCTTTTGTGCCCCCTACTCCTGCTCTCTGACCTGATCAAAAGCCTTCTGGGGTTCAGCCTCGCTGTCTTGCAGGTTGCCAGTCGTTCTCAGGAAAGAACATGCGTCGCAGGCAGAACATCTTGCGCACAGTTTCCAGGGTTACCTGTGTAGTGCTGATAGCAAGCAGGAAATTAAAATGCTCCATGATGATGATACGTTATCGACAACAGATGGTGGCCATTAGGTGTACGTGCATGTCAGGGGAAGGCATAAAGGCAAGTAGAGCAGACACAACTATTAGATTTGTGTAATCATCACTGCAGGTGCTAAGCTCCACTATGGATGGAGCAGGGCAGTTCCTGAGCACCCTGGTTCCCCTTCTGGCCGTTGTATATGTGACTCTGGTTCCTGGAAGTAACTCCAAGTAGTTACTTGGTGTGGCTTCAAGCTAACTTGTTTGCAGAGTTTCTTGTCTGATTATTAGCCCTTTTGTACAGCTAGTTCTGTCTTGCTATTTTCTCTGTCTTTGTCATCTCTCTTTTCTAGACAGCCTTTCTCCCTTGTCCTTCAAAAGGCTCGGTCTCTTAACTTGAGACCGTTCTACTTTTAACCTCTCCAAGGATGGTCCAGCTGCCTGTAGTCTGCGGAGGCTGTAGTGATCTGCTGTAACCTGTGTCAGGATTGCTTGGGGACTTGTCAGGGGACTGCTAAGTCTGGAAAATCAACTGAGGATCTGTTCTACTGAGCTCAGAGTCTAGCAAAGTGTCACGTTATATGTTCCTTTTCTTACTGAGCTGTCTCTTCTTCCTTCTATCTTCGTGGGTCTCTCCACCTCAGTGCTCTGTTAACTCTGAGGTGCAGAATTAGGCCGGAATATGCACATGCATGCCTGCTTTCAGTTCAGGATAGCAAATCTCTCCCAGTCTGTGGATACAGCTCTATCTCTTTGACTTCTATGTACGTCTAAACAGCTGCTGGCTGGGGGGCTTCAGGATGAAGTAAAAGAGTATCTTATTTGCGTGCAAAGTCTCCTTGAAGGTAGTGATGCTGGTGTAGAAGTGTTTGGAGAAACGACTGTGATGGCTTAGCTTTTCTCAAACCTCAGGCTCAGCTTTGCTTGCGGTATGTGGAAGCACTAATGGAAGCCCACTTTGAGATGTGCTCTTCTCCTCAGCACGGGCTTTATCAGCTGTGGTCTTAATTGCTCTTAAGATGTCAGTAATTCTGCAAAGACTAGACTTGTGCTAGCCTGGGCTCAAACTATTACTTAAAACATTATATAGGATGACTTCTGGGGTAGCACGTAGGTAGTCCGACTGCACTGTGGCAATTGTGTGATCGTATGCAAACCAAAGCATACTTGTGATGTTACTCCTTACTTGCCTCCCATATCTCAACCCTAAAATCTGTAGTTCTGAGAGAGCTATGCTCTTGCTACAAGCTTTCTCAGATACTGGCTGGAAGAACCTTCCATGCTTGTGCATTTATCTTTTTTTTTTTAATGCAAATGTTTAATTTCAGATGTTCTGAATGACGCCATCTTTGATGAAGATCATGATGAGATGGTAATTGTGAAGGACATAGACATGTTCTCATTGTGTGAGCATCACCTCGTTCCATTTGTTGGAAAGGTAACTCTTCCTCACAAAACAAATGTGGGAATACATGATAAAAGACCTAAAGTACATGTAAAAGACTTTGTAGCTGTAACTACAAAGCTTTTAAAGCTATAAGTATTTACTGCTTACGGCTATGATTCTAGAAGTTAATCTTCAGAATACAAATAAGGAAGACCTCCTTTTAATGTGAGTTTTATTTGGATTTAAGCTCCTAAAATATAACGCTCAACCTTTCCTAGTCTAAGTAATCTAATGGTTTCTGACATTTCATATCAAAGCTCTTCCTCGTGAAGCAGCAGCAAGCCTTGAGGGCAGACATCTTGATATTAAACCAGCTCACCCTGCACGCTGGCTCTGTCACGGATTTAGCTTCTGGCTCAGAGCTATCTAGTGCGCATTCACCTTGGGACACCCCCCCCTCCCCCGCCCCCCGCCGTGAGTGGAACAAACTTCTGATTAGCAACCCAGCCTTAAATAAGCAAGCCCAGTCAGGGAGGAGGTAGTCAAAATCGAGTAGCAGGAGGCTGCTGAGGTTGGGACTTCCATGGAAGGGGCTGGTGTTTCAGAGGGTGTTGAAATTGTGATGCCAACAACTTTAAAAAGAAAAAAAATATTCTCAAGTTAACCACTGTAAACATGATGAAGAGTTCAGAGTGGGTAGCCCCTTCTGCAGATCTCAGCCTCTTCACTTCCCTGTCAGCACAGAAGGATGGAGCTTATTCTGATTCATCTGTTCTACCATAAAGTACTCCCAGGCCAGAGAGTAGCAAGTGCTTTTGTTGTCTGTAAAATTCGATCAGTACCACATATGTTCCAAGTAAACTGTCTCCCAAAAATAAAATACCCGAACACAAACCAGCTGTTTATTTAGTTGAGTCAACTCAATTTCATCTGCTTTCTTTTCTTACTGTTAGTATTTTATACTGGAAAACACGGTAACCTCTTTTTCTGTGCAAGCTTTCTATTTTGCCTGTTATTCTTGGTTACACGTACTGTGTATATTCTCTTCGTTACTCCTGTGGCAATATATGCATTCTTTTTACATCTAGCTGTTTAGGCTGTGTGGTTTGGAGAAATCTCCTCGCAAACACCGAATCGGTCCTGCTCGTATAATGGTCTGCTAAATGACTTGGTATGCCTCTAAATATTCTCAGACTAACCATTCTCCTGTTGGGTACATCAAACAGGCTGCAAACACTGACCAGTAGGTCTTGTATTTGCAGTTCTATCTTAAATGATATTAAGACATTCGCAAAAATACTCTATGGGGAACAGGATTCAGCGCTTATTTCTAAGTTATGTCTCTCACTTTGTCTGAAATGTTTCATGTCTTTTCAGGTGTCAGTGGGTTGATTACCCAACAGAAGTGATAGCAATGAGCAAGTTAGCCAGGTAATTAGGTGCACTGTGGTACCTCTAACTGCAGGTACAGCAATACAGGATTCTGAGATGGGGCCTTTAGGCAAAGCGCTAAGACGGAATCCTACACTGACACTCCCCTACTGTATCTTGGCTAATTTTTCAAGTCTCTGGTACAGTGAACACAAATGCTGGTTTATAATCTGTTATAACTGTAAACCCACTTGAATTCAGTAGCCTATCTTGCTTTCTAAAAACAAGAAGCTAAATGGCTTTCCCCTACCTTTGTATCTGAGCTCATTTCTACTAAAGAACTTATTCCAACTTAGCGCAACTACGTGTTCAGTATGAATGTTCAGCAAATCCGTATTCGAGCAGGATGGAAGTTGACTTAATCATACAGTGGTCTATGGTACTACCAAAGCAAGGGGAAAAAAAAAATCAGTAAGTGGACCCTGATTTTGGTGGCTAAGTACTTCTGGCCATCAGATCTTTCACTGGAAGTAAAGTACAGTCCCTCTCCCTCCCACTCCCTAAATCTGTTTTAGGTCTTGAAAGTAAAGCATGTTTATTTTAGACGAACAGTGCTGTGCTGAGTAATAGGCTGCTTTTTGTACCCAAACGTAGTAGTACTCTGTAGCATTCCTGAGACTTGGAACATAAGCCTTGACTCTTGAAGAGTTGTGATTTTTCTCCCCCCCCCCTCAGAAAACTGACCTATTCTTCACCAGGACATAGACCTCACCAGGCATTTACAGTCTCAGTTAGCTCCACAATTTTTCAGGCTTGCATGGTGGCATGTTCCTCCCACATGCTAAGACTTTGGGACTGTTCCAGAGTTAGTTCTGGGGCAAATACACATCTCATTCTCTATGCATGAGTTTCATACGTATTTGGAAGTGTGGGTTTGATTCTGTTAATGGTTTGTTCTCCTCTGTCTAGGTACATATTGGCTATCTTCCTAACAAACAAGTACTTGGCCTCAGCAAGCTTGCTAGGTAAGTGTTAATGTAATGAAAGTGATGCTAATTTGTAAAAAGGATTCCAAGCTGTGCTAACTGTGCTAATCTTTCTAATCTGGTTCCCCTCTAAAGCTCAGCCCACTTTGTGTCCTGGATTTGGATTTAGACCAATCCTCGGCATTATGTTTTTTTGTGGAGAGGACAGATAAGTCTTAGAGCTCTGTGTTAATTCACATCAGTCGACTGTAGTAGAGCCGTAATGCTTTTGTACGTTCATGCAAAGCATTGGTGTCTGCGGGGGAGCACAGAAGGAAGAACAACAGAGAATTTGGTCATGTTCTAAGGCAGGCCACAAAAACCAGTGGGGATCTCTAGCTATTTACTACTTGCATGTATATTGACCGATAAGAACAAAAATCCCAAACTTCCAAACTGTAAATGAACATGTTCTATGGATAGAAATTGAATCTAAAGCTTTCATCTGTTATCTGACTCTTCAAATAAATTTGGCATTTCTTTCTTTCACTGGAGACCTGCTGAGAGAGCCATGGGGTATATTTTATAGATAAGGTTCAGCCTAAGAAACAAAGCAATTATGATACACTTGAGAAATCCATTTGTTATGTAAAATAGCTTTTTCCACAGCAAGTGCCCTTGGATCCGTTGTTGCACTGAATCTTGTTATAAAGTGGCACTTTCTAGTTCTGGTGAGGAAGGGCATGGTAGATCCCTTCAGTAAGCAGATTATTGGGGACCAGAGTGGAAGGGTCTCTTTTGAGAAATGAATCTAAAAAATTGGCTGTAGTTCAGAAAGACCACATGGGTTTTGCTTATACTTTCCCTGATATGTCCGTTAGTCTTGCTGTAGTTCCAATAATACTAATAAGAATTAGCCTTGTAAATCTGCATGCCTGCTGGGTTTTCTTAGCAGGTAAGACATGTAGGGTATGACACTAAAATGCTTTAAAGTCAGTCAGCTCTGTTCTGTGCGCTGCTTGCACAACAGTGAAATTGGTTTGGAAGTGGAAGGGCCCTCAGAGCTGACAACTTTGTTAATGTAACTTCATGTTACAGGGCGGTCATCTTTAAGTCTTCTAGCAGTGCTTATAGGAGGGGACTTTGCTCTAATTAAAAGGCTGAAACAGGCAATTGAACATTTAAATTTTTTCCTACATGCTTTTTGTGGCTGTACCTAACTGCTGAAATTGTAGGATGAGGTTCTGAGCTGTCAGCACTGCAGTTGCTGGGCGAAAGACTTTGCCTTCTGTAGCTGCTTATGCTTGGGGATGTCTTTGTGGCAGTTCATGGCTTGTGTCATGTGTTGGCTGGCACTCATGTAGCTGGATCTTTTTAAGTGGTGCAGTGATTTTTTTTGAGTTGGGTTTCTGAAGGCGAACATCCTTCCTGAAGAGACCGTCTTTAGTCCTTGGTTTCATTTCTGCAGGGCTTGAATGCAAGATTAAGGATCACATTTGAAATATGCATCAGTTGATTTGTGCTTGCTCTGGTCTCTAGTTACCTCTGAATTGCAGATGTAAAAAGGAGCTCAAAACTGTCTTTGGTGATTTTTAATGCAAGTGGCAACATGGTGCTAGAAGTGTACAATTTTCCTACTACTTAGTATAGAAGCATGCAGGAATATGTGCAAGGCTTCCTGCTCTGTGCTTGAGAGGTTAAATCTCGCCTCTTTTCAAGTTAGGGTAAAACTCCCATATACTGCAATACTGAAAAGATTAGATTCTTGTATAACAAAATGTTCTCAGTCCTGACTTGCTTTTGAGTGCTTACCGTGAAGAGATTGGTGGGTCAAATAGTGCTTCCCTTTCGTGCCCTATATAATGCAACCAGTGTTCAAACAAAGATTTGTGAGGCTATTGGTACTGTAGGCCTAATCTTTTGTAATAGGATTAGTCTAATGTGGTGGGTTTCTGTAGTTGGGGATGACCTGTATTCAGTAAACAAACGTCGTTCTTTGGATTTTAAGCTCAGGCTTGAAAATGCTAATGCAAGTAACTGTTTTTACATAAACATGCTTATAGGACTTCTTATATGCAGCACCAGTGTAAAAGTATCTGAGCATCAGCTCGTTTCCTACCCATGTATTTAAATATTATGTGGCTTTGTTTAGAATAGCTATAACACAACCATTTCATTTCTGGAGGGGAGTTTCTGCATATAATTCTCTCTCCAAAACAGCAGACAAGTCTCATTGTCAGAAATATTTCTTGTAACTAATGCCTCAGGCTGCCAGCCAGTGTCTGTTTTTTGTCTAGTCTGACCAGATGGGTATTGAAGCTTTCTATAGCAACTTCTTTACATGGCCACTTGACATGTAATTAAGCATTTGAGGTTGGCATGAATAATCCATTGAGGGACAGAGCATTTATTTATAAGACTTTTCTTAAAGGTGTGGATTTTAGTACTGTGGCGATAAATGATGGTAGTATCACTTGCATTGCCCCACATATGGCTTAAATCTGAAGTCATGTTCAAGGGGAGCATTAAGGTCATCCCTGCATTGAAATGTGAAGGATGGTGTGATATATGGGTGGAGAGTGTCTGTTTTAAATGAAAACAATTCTGTCTCATTGTTGTTAGTTAAATTTGTGGTTAAATGCAAGAGTCCAAAACATCTCTTGCTTAATTTCAGTAGCCTTCTGGGAATCCCAATATCTGAATTGTCCTTAAAACAGCATTTGGTTTAGACTGAAGCAAAAGGAGGTAGTCAGACCTCAGCTCAAGGATTAGCGTTCAGAGAGTCTTTGGGCATGGATTACCTTGCAACTCTGTGATGTAGGTGGGTGGTGGTACAGATAATTCAAAAGTAACAGCCAACAGAAGAAGCTCTAAGGAGAAGTGACAGGTTTGCCCCTGAAATAGTCTCTGGGGTTGCAGGTAGGGGGAACCTGTGGCAAAACACAGTGATGGGCTAAGGGAAGTCCTTGAGCAATGCCAGCCAGGGGCTGAGCAGCAGCATGATGTTGCATGGGTTTCCAGGAAGGACGCGGATCAGTACAGTGGTCTTGTTTTGATAGCGTCAAGTTAATTGTGAAGATCAAACAATGATCAGATGGGAATAACTATAACATTGTCTTTTTCTTTTCTCTTTTAGGATTGTGGAAATATACAGCAGAAGATTACAAGGTAAAAAGATGAATTTTTGGTTTTCTTGTGTGCACTCCTTTGCTAGCCAGCTGAGGGTACTCGTAATTGTAGGTGGACTATAGCTGTGTGAATTTTAGTGTGAAGAAAAACACTGTTCTTGAGCAGGTGTTTCACATCTGTCATCTTACTTAGCTTCTACGTTGCCAGTGAAGGGTAAAATCTGGCTATGAAAATAGATGTAGGCAGTAACTGATTCAGAGGATAAATGTGCTACAAGATACAGCTGCCAGGAATAACTAAACTAGTTGGATGCTGCTGGAGATGAACTCTCCTACAGATAATTTGAGAGATGACTTCAAGAATTGTCGTCTGAAGAGATGAAGCGAGAGCTGCCATGTTTATGGGCTGCCTGCCTGCTGCTCCCAAGAAGTGGAGGAAGCTGCAGGGTCTGAGGCCTTGCGTTGGGCTCAGCCTGCTCTCGTTGTCCTGCAGTTAATTTGGCCTGTTTTGGGCATCAGAAGTCTTAGTGACCATTAGGTGTCAGACTGGTGAATAGAGGGTGCTAGAGCTGCAGGAAGTAAAGCTTTGCAGGCCAATAGACTCTCTTAATTTGCTCATTTTTAATCTCCATTTCCTTTCCTTAAAAAGAGAAATTGTGTGTAGGGAATGAATAGTGCAGCAGTAAAGCCAGTGAGCAAATACATAAAAAATAAAAGAAAACAGAGAAGTGAGAAAATCTAACTGCATAATAGGAAATGTAAGAGCTGTTATAATGAATCATGGTAATGCAATTCCTGCAAAGGTGTAAAGCAAAATGACTCCCAATATAAACAAGCAAATAAAAGGTCTGTTCCAGGATACAAAACATAAGATAGGATTTGGTACCAATAAAATTTATTTAGGAAGAGCAGTACTTGTGTGTGTGTGTTGTGGTGGTGGGGAATAGGCACACCTAGCAGCAAGGATGCAATGTTGCTATCTAGACAGTGGCGGTGGTGCATTGATGGTAGTCAGATTTAACACCATGTCTGAACTCCCTGTTGTTCTTTCAGTCCAGGAACGCCTTACCAAACAAATTGCAATAGCTATCACAGAAGCCTTACAGCCCGCTGGAGTTGGAGTGGTTATTGAAGCTACGTAAGTTACTCTGAGCTGTTCTGTAGTAACATATGGGCTGTATGTGATTTCAGCTGCCTGCTGCAGGGCTGTTGTGTGTTGCATTTTTGGCTGCGGTAGCTGTGTGCCATGCTTGTTTATGAGACAGAGCGCAGGCAGGAGTGATCCTTGCCTGTTCAGTGAAATGGCCTGGTGGGTTGGAGCCATTTAAAGTGGGGGGCTACCTTATCCACTGCAGAGATGTGGCAACTGGCAGTGTGGTCAGCTCTACCAGTTGCCCTGGGTCCTCAGTGTTCAGCCTCAGTGCACCTTCTACTTCCTCAAGTAGAGCAAAGTGTGGGACTAGCAACAGGCATGTCCTTGTTATCAGAATGCACCTTGGAAAGGTGGGATTTTCCTAGGATCAGAGGAGAGAAGGCAGCACTTAGGAGCTGGGAATTTGACTTTCTTTTCCATAGAGGACAGCTGAGGGACTACTGACAGATACCCATTCTGGATATGGAGGTTTTGTCACTTCCCCAGAATTTAACATGACCGTGTAAGAAACATCTCTCTCTGTGGGTTTACTTCTTTTTTATGAGTATGTCTGACTTATTGACTCCCCTCTTATTTCTTTTAGGCATATGTGTATGGTAATGCGTGGGGTACAGAAAATGAACAGTAAAACAGTAACCAGCACAATGTTGGGGGTATTCCGGGAGGATCCAAAGACCCGTGAAGAATTCTTGACACTCATCAGGAGCTGAAACTGTGTTATTCTCTAAATGCACTCTGGAGATTGTTCTGTCTGGTGTCACTGTCTGTTCTTAGTTGTTCCTACATCTCACTTTTAAACTAAATCGTTGTGAATTGTTGTCATAGTCTTTGTGCAGTAAAAGACTTCTGATGGCAAGTGATAAATGTAACAATGAGGTAGGCTCCTCCTGGGCTTCCAATGATGCTGATGTCACAGAATTACAAGCTACAAATAGGGTTTTAGAAATGTTTGTCCATCCACAATGCAGAATATACTGCTGTTGGGAGAAAAGTGGGGCTTGGGAGTGAAATGGATATTTATGAAATAGTTATGTTTATTAGAATAAATATGGAGCAGCACAGGAAACAGCTGAAAGGCTGTGGATCCTTGTAGGACCACTTATACTGCAAATACTGTACCTCTGCTGAAAAAGATGGTCCTGAATTATCTCTGACTATATTTTATTACAAGTCCTGCAGTGGCTGTTTCAGTATCTGGATATGTATGTTATACCTCTTTGAGATGTTACCTCTGGTGATGTTTTATATTCTTGCTAGTATTAACCCTCCTTTTTTGTGTGGGTTTTGTTTGTTTGAGAAATTTAAAACACATTTTCCCTAGCCTCTTAACATGCAGGGAATTAACTTCTAAATTATTTGGGGCACAGTCTTATCTCAATATAAAGGGGTTTATGCACCTTTTTCTCTGTGCCTCAGAATGTCTGACCACTTTAACTGTCAGTTTCTTACTATTTTTAAGCAAACTTTAACAGAGGGGAGGAAAAAACCCCAGAGTCTGTCTGCAAAGTGCTAAGATGTCCAAAGAGGTTTTTAATAATATTTATATCTTGGGCTTTCCTTCTTGGTTTCCATGGGTTAGACTGAGAAGCTAAAACTAGTCTGATAATCTGTAAATGAAGATTTCTTTTCAAGCATTTCAAGATTTGCATCTCATAAATGTTGGACCAAAGGTGAGCACTGAAATCCTGAACACAGCACATTGTACCTCTCCTGCCTGACGGCAGGTCATTTCAGGGCAAAGAACCTGAAATGACAACAACTTATTTCGTAAGAGGAGTTGGGAAAAGCATTTCCAGGGCCATCAAAATGAATTAAACTACATTTTTCTGTGTATGTGGCAACCTCTGTATGTGGCAGTATTGGTACAGAAAGTTAAGGTCAGCTGGACTTGGCTGAACTTCTTATACTTTGTTACAATTTTAATGGGTGTTTTGTAACTCTTAATTGGGAAAACATGAGGCAAACGAAAACCACCCTCCTCAAACTAAACACAGGAGGCAAAACTTAAAAAATAAAATGTCAGACAGAGTGTCAGATGCCCACAATGCAGGTTCCCATAGTCATATCTGCTTTGCCGAATATGAATCCAAGATGTTCTGTACACTAACCTAAAAGGCAGTTCCTCGTCTGGCAAGCTCGATCTTACCAACATTCCTGTCTCTTGCTTCAACCCATGTTAGAAATGAAATGAAAATCATGTCTGGTCAAATTTCCATTGGGTCTAAAGAGCTTTCAAGAACAACAACATCACGCATTTAATTACTCTAATTTTACCTTGATGACCTTCACAGCATTATTGGAAAAATCTTTTATAATACCCTCTGTCCTGGATTCTGTAGAGTTAGGTGCTATGAAAGTGTTTGTCTGCTAGTGTAAACAAGCTGTGTGTTGCACATTTATAAAATACGCTAACTCTATGGCATTTGCTTTCCTTAAGTGATTGAGAGCAGATACTGCCATTTTTCAGTTCAGTGTATGTTTCAAATATCTAGCTGAAAAGCCTTAAATCTTTCTTGCCTGAAGTTCAGAGTAAAACTCTTTCTCTTTTTAGCTGAACAACTGGAAGGAGAATTTGAGGACTGAAGGGGCACACACTAGTACATTTGTTTCTCTTTGCTTGCTTTAGTTTGGAAATTCAGTCTCGGTAGAGCACTGTCTTGCTCCTGAGGTAATGAAAAGGTTGCGTTTTAACCACTTATCTATTCAGGATAAAGTTCGCATTGCACCACCGCTGGTTTTTATTTCCATGTGACCTGTAGTCCTTAAAACATACCTCTCTATACTTGTGGCCTTGGATTTTGTTCACATTTTTGTTGTTGTAAGACTTGGTGCATTTTTTGGAACATTAGTATTGTTCAAATACACAAGCTTTAACTACAACCAGTGTGTATGTATGTGTAGTACGTACAGCCTGCTGTTGTACCACGTAGAAGTCCGTTGTCTCTCAAACATTAAAGCACAATATTATCCTTTGGAGTGGCAGCATCCTTGGTGACTTGGAGGTGATGGCATCATGAGGAAGTGGCACAAGCTCGGTCTCCTTGGGTGGGGGTTGTTTCTGCACTAGCAGGTGCTCCAAGCCTGGTGTGAGATGTTGGGTTGCTCTTCTGGGACAGTAGTTGCTCTTGTCCCCAGATGAGTCTCCATTTGTTGACTGGGCACCAAAAAACCCCCAAGATTTGGTGTCACCTTTTTCTTACTGGTCCTTGGTGCCAGAGGAATCTACAGTGGGGCAGGGAAGGTGGGAGGCAGTGGCTGCTCTGGAGCAGCAGTTGCACGCATCGAGGCTCATGTGGGCTTATAGTCCTCTTGTGCACTTCTTAAGCCATTCTGGATGCCTCATCACACTTTACTGAGGAAATACCTGGTTCCTGGCCAAACGTTCAAATTACCTGAACAAATCTATCCTAACGGCAGATGTGATGCAGATGCGATGAGACCTTGAAGCTGAAGTCTTGGTTGGGTCACCCCACTGTGTATGTACCATGCATAGCAATGAGCTCAGCCTGTGCCAGCAGAAGCTGTACTGCTCCTTCAGGGTGGGGAGGCTGTCTTAAAGACACTCCTGTCCTCCTGGGATGCAGATACTGCTGAGATTCAGGGAAAAAAAATAATAAACTTTACAGATCTCAGACTCCCCAGGAGCGTTGCAGCCAAAGCTTTGCCAATGGGTGGTATAGAGGGAAGGGAGGACTGCAGGAGCTGTGTGTGGCCGTGCTTGCACACCCACGGACAGCATGCAGCTGCTCTGTGACTTCTCAGCATCACCAGAAGGAAAGTGGGCTATGCCTGTGTGCTCCAGGGAAGTCCCTTTGTAGCCCTTTCCCACTTAACGTTTGCTCTTCTATATTGCCAGGCAGTTTCAAGGGGCAGACGGTGTCTGTGCTGCGGTTGGAGCCGTGACTGCACCGACAGATGAGCGTGACCTTCTGCAAGCTGCCAAACTGGCAGGAGCCCTCCTCAGGCTGCACTGGCCCAGGTTTTTCTGCTGCCTGGATGAGAAAAGGAGAGAAAACAAGAAAAGGTTAAATGCCTGTATGAAAATTAACTCTGTCCCAGCCAAAACCAGCACAGCTTCTTTAATCTCTTAGCTACTTCTCTGTGCTGAAGCACAAGATAAATGGGGCAACCAGTGAAGTTTTTGGGCTGCAGGCAGGGATGGGGAATCTGCTGGTACAGTGTGGCTTTGTGGGGGAATGCTGTGGCGTGGAGAAGGAATAATGAATGAAAGCCCCCTCCAGCCCTTTGTGTTGTTTTTTTTTTTTCCCCAAATGGTCTGTCCTGTTTGGAAATAACTCTCCTGGGAAGCCCCAGGAGCATTGTCAAGAATTGTCTTTGTTGTGAAGCTGAGTTACTTCTGTGTTTCCCACGGTTGTATATTAAAGCTGCTGATTGTGGTGGGAAACAGCCTGTTTGTCAAAGCAGGCACTTCTGCAAGAAACGTTCTATTCCTTGCCTCTATTTTGTTTTAGGTGTGGGATTGGGAAGGAGCTGCTGTGGTTTTGTGATCATGGGAAAAACTGTTTTCATTGGGGTGAACAAATACTCAGCTTGAAAGTATTTACAGCTCAAAAAAGCCAGAAGAAAGCGATAACCAAATGTGTAAAAGAATAAAAATCTGTTATTAAGGTGACATCCTCCCATCCCTAACCTACCACATCTCCCAAGATCCTACCTGCTTTATCACGTGCTCTATTCATTTCCTGATACCTTCCAGTGGTACATGTTGCCTCTGTTTTTTTTCTCAGGAGTCCCCCATATAAGCAGCTTCTTTGTATTTTTTTCTATCACTCTGGTTTACTTTTGGGTGTCTCCCATCATCTCCTGCACACATGCTGCGGAGTGATGAGTGAGCGAGTCCCTGTGCCATGCCCAGCCAGGTCCTTGGTGCAGGCTCTTTGGTCCTCTCCCCTTGCGTTCCACCTCTAGGTGCAGGTTTATGCTTTGCTTCAGGCAACTTTTCACAGCTAGGAACCCCGGGAGGTGGTTAGTTCTGCTTATCTCATGGTGCAAAGAAGTGCCCTTGGTTCCCTTGTGCTGTGGTGTGTGAATTCCCTACAGGGACCTGGCTGGTGGGTCACTTGCTCTGCCAGCATGTCCCAGCTGTCCCTGATGTGGGAGCTTGCTGGAAATGAGGATGCCTCTCCTGGAAACCCTGGGCAGATATCTCCTTCCCAGCTGCATTGCCTATGACCGGACCCCACGCTGTCTTCACGCTCCCAAGACCACTGTAGATTTTTATCTTCTCTGCTACAAAGCGCAAGTCCCCAAACTTCTTCCTCAAAGCACCCTCTCTCGTACCAGATCCTGCTGCTGGTCATCAAGCTCGGTCAGGTAGGTGGTGGATAAGGAATGCTGCTGCCCGAAGGCGTGAAAGCTGCCAGCCCAACCCAACCTGTCCCCAAGGGAGCTCACGGAAATGCGGCCGGCCTTATGGTTAGGTCTTTGGGAACGATGTATGAGGAACCTGGGCAGTACCTGCTAGCTGAGAAACCCTGACAGATGGCTAGCCTGCAGCTCTGAGTGTTCAGCAGGGGGGAACTGCAAACCAGAGTAGGACTGGGGTGTCCACCAGTGCAGTATGGGTTCCTGAGTGGGTGGCTGCTGTCCACGTCTCACCCACGTGCTGAGGACCCGTCAGCACTTATGGGGGGGAGCATCTGAAGAGATCTGCCTTTCTTTGGGCATTTTACCCAAGGGATCCCAAAATAGGGCTCTTTCTAGCCAGAAATCTGCCTTCCAGGTGACTCAGTGCCTGCAGTCACGGGCTCCGCTCATCCTGTAGGCTTTATGCAGCCATCGCAACCTTCCAGCAGCTCATAGTTGCTTAATAAGCTCAAATTGCTCATTACCTGGCCTCTGGTTTCTGCCCCCGCTCTCTCGAGTGAGTTGTCGGCGTTGGGAAAGAGCCCTCAATCAGCCGTGCCCTTTGAGCTTTGGCTGAGCCCTTCTGCCAAACTCCTGGAAATAACCTTTATGAAAAGCTTTGCCTTCCAGTTACATTTAAAGTTGCAGTCATGATTTAGTAGTCGAGAGGATGTAAAACATTAAACCTCTTTTTAATAAGTCTTGGGCTGGGCTGTTACAGGGACAGCAAATAAATCACAGTATTCCAAGAAATTTTGCTAAAATACCCGAAGAATA